TCGGGACAGGGGTGCCCGCCGGGGGAGTGGGGCATCCCGGGGCAACCGAGAAGCGTGGAGCCCGCGGGGGACGCCGGCTGCACCGCAGCGCCCGCCCTCTGAGCTGCGTGGGCAAGGAGGGCGGTGGGGCTCCGGGACACCCCGAGGGCAGGGCGCCCCGACTTCTCCCGGGGAGCCCCAACCCGGGGGAGCGTCTAGAACGAGCGTGCCCCAGCCGCTCCGAACCTGGCGCTCATCCCCCGCGTACCCCACTGCTACACAAACTTTTCTGACGCCCTCACCCGCGGGGGTCGCGGGGAGCGCGGGTCTGCCCGCTGGGCTCCCGCCCCGCCGGACCCCAGCCACGCTGACCTCCCGCCTCTCTAGCCTCAGTGGCGACCTCTCCAGGCCGGGCCGGGCACGGCGCTCGAGGCGAGCGCGGCAAGCTCCGCGGCTCTCCGGAGGCTCCCGCGCCCCCCGGGGCAGCTGGGCGGGGTAATGCCCTCGGTGATGGAGAAGCCGAGCGCGGGCTCCGGAATCCTATCCCGCAGCCGGGCCAAGACGGCGCCCAACGGCGGCCAGCCCCACTCGGAGGATGACAGCAGCGAGGAGGAGCACTCGCACGGTGAGCCCGGAGGCCCAGGGTTAGAGGCGCACCGGCCGCGGGGGCGCGGAGTGGGGAGGGGGGGAGTTGCCGGCCCCGGGCGCGTTACGCCGAGGGCTCGGGCTCCCTGAACTGGAATCGGAGCCCCTTTCCTGGTTCTCTCCCAAGACGGGGCTGCCGCACCGGGGATCTGGAGGCTGGGCCCCTAGTAGCCGAGGAGCGGTGCTGCCCGCCCCCGCCCTGCCCTCAGTCGCTGAGGGACTCGGCGTCCGTCCTCGCGCAGATGGGGCCCTCATACCTTGCCACCTTGCGGGGACTGAGGTCTGGCCGGGGCGGGGGCTGGAAAGGTGCGGCGGGCGGTGCAGCTCGGCTCATGTGGTGGGGAGGAGCCTCGCATCCCCGCAGGGCTGAGGTCCAGGGCTCAGGGCAGAACCTCCAACCCCCCCCCAACGGCCCCCCCCCGCCAGAACAAAGGGCCCAGCTTGACCTGGGCTCCCAAACTGGCCCCTGCCCTCCCCTCGCCCTCCAAGGCTGTGCCTAGGCTGGGTCTCTCCCAGGTCCTTCTGTGGCTGAGGGCAACTGGGGGAAGAAGTGAGGGGGAACTGAGGGGAAGGTCTGGGAAAAGTGAGCCCTCGGGGAGGTGGGGGCCCTGGGTGGTCAGGAAGGAGAACTCCAGACGGCCCCCTCCCCCCCACATCCTCCCTGCTCGCTCCCTCCCTCCCTGGAGTCCTGACTGCCTCCCCCTGGCTCCACAGACAGCATGATCCGCGTTGGAACCAATTACCAGGCCGTAATTCCGGAGTGCAAGCCTGGTGAGTGGCAGGACAGGCTGCCGAGGGAGGGGAGCAGAGGGCCCACGGCTTGGCCAGGAGCCTCACCTGGGGGAGCCCTTGGCTGGCGCCCACTGGAAGCACAGGCGGTGGGCGGGGGTGGGTGGCCCCGTGGCCTGGTTGGTTTTCCTGCTCTGCCTTCCTGTCTGGGTCTCTGCTCCTCCTTCCCCTCACCTCAGAGGCTCCACTCTCCTGCCTCCCTCTGGCCCTGGGTCCAGCGCCCAGCTGGCCTGAGGCAGGAGCTGGCCTGAGGCGCTGCCTTGTCCCCTTTTCCTCTCAGAGAGCCCTGCCCGCTACAGCAACAAGGAGCTGAAAGGGATGCTGGTGTGGTCGCCCAACCACTGTGTGTCTGATGCCAAGCGTGAGTGGGGCCTGGGGCGGGTCCCTGGGGGCTGCAGCTCTTGTCAGCCCAAAGCCAGCTCTCCTCAGAAGTGGGCTGGGGGAGGCCTAGCCGAGGAGTGGAGACCCCCTGCTCCATAACCCAGCCCTCCCCCCCTGCCCCCCGCAGTTGACAAGTACATAGCGATGGCCAAGGAGAAGCACGGCTACAACATTGAGCAGGTGAACCTGGGCCCGCAGACTCGGAGTGGGGCTGGGTGGGCTTGTGCTGCGGGCAGCCGAGCCTGAGTTGTCGCCCATCCTGCGCCAGGCGCTGGGCATGCTCCTGTGGCATAAGCATGACGTGGAGAAGTCACTGGCCGACCTGGCCAACTTCACCCCGTTTCCGGACGAGTGGACGGTGGAGGACAAGGTGCTGTTTGAACAGGCCTTTGGCTTCCACGGCAAGTGCTTCCAGCGGATCCAACAGATGGTAAAGCCCGTTCCCCTGCCTGGGCTCCCGAGCCCCTCCTTTCTGACCAGCCTGCCCTGGGATCAGTCTTCGGGGGCCCCAGCCTCTGGTGTGTTGCCCCTCCAGCTGCCTGACAAGCTGATCCCCAGCCTGGTGAAGTATTACTACTCTTGGAAGAAGACCCGTAGCCGGACCAGTGTCATGGACAGACAGGCCCGGCGGCTGGGGGGCCGGAAGGACAAAGAAGACAGGTGGAGGTCCGGGGACAGGTGGGTGGGGACAGGCAGAGCCTCTGGGGAGCCCCAGCCCTGGCTTCACTCCCTTCCTGTCCCCCGTGTCAGCAGCGATGAGCTTGAAGAGGGACGAGGAACTGTGAGTGAGGGTGAGCCAGATGCTGGAGACCCCAAAAGAGAGGTGAGGCCCCAGAGCTGGTCTGGCCCTGCCCACCCACCTGCCTCTCCTTGGGCTCTTGCTACCCTCCTTCTCCTCTCCCTGGCAGCCTCTGCCCTCCTCTCGGCCCCTGAACGCCCGCCCAGGCCCTGGGAAGAAGGAGGCCCAAGGGTCTCAGTACCGCCACCACCCCCTGCGTACGCGACGGCGCCCACCCAAGGGCATGTACCTGAGCCCCGAGGGCCTCACCGCTGTATCCGGAAGCCCGGACCTGGCCAACCTCACACTTCGAGGCCTTGACTCTCAGCTCATCTCCCTGAAGCGTCAGGTAGGGTCCCAGAAAAGATGGGGCCCAGCAGAGGGGCCCACATTTGACAGGCAGCCTGAGGGTGAGGGAGATGTTGCAGGTGCCAGGCTTGTCCCTGCCCCGTTCCTGGGCTTCTGGTTGACTTCTGAAAGTTAACCACGCGTTAGAAGTAAAGCTTTGCTCCAAGGGGTGAAGCTTAGCCTCTTCCCTCCCAAGAGGCTGTGAAGGAGGGATGAGCGAGACTGGGGCGCGGCAGAGGCTTTGTTGGGAAATGGGCCCCATGTCTGCAGGGCTAGTACCAGCAGCCAACACCTTCTTGGCTGGCCCCCCCAGGTGCAGAGCATGAAGCAGACCAATAGCAGCCTCCGTCAAGCCCTGGAGGGCGGCATCGACCCTCTGCGCCCCCCAGAGGTAAGGCTGCTTTCAAGTTTGGGTGAATGAGGGTTTGTTTTTTTTTTCCGGAGGAGAAAGGAAACTTCTTAGAGAACAGGGCCTCCATTTCCCAGCTTTGGAGTCTAAAGGCTCCATCCCTTGCTCTCCAGGCCAATACCAAGTTCAATTCCCGCTGGACCACGGATGAGCAGCTTTTGGCTGTGCAAGGTGGGTTTGACTATAGGGAGGAGGGCCCCAGGAATCGACCCCCACTCTCCAGGGAGCTGATCAGAGAAGTAACTGCTCCTAAGAGGTGCTCACACTCGGCTCCCCTTTTGGCCCTTACAGCCATCCGTAGGTATGGCAAAGACTTTGGGGCTATTGCAGAGGTGATTGGGAACAAGACTCTGACCCAGGTGAAGACCTTCTTTGTAAGCTACCGGCGTCGCTTCAACCTGGAAGAGGTGCTGCAGGAATGGGAGGCCGAACAGGATGGGGCTCCTGGAGCCCCGGTTCCCATGGAGGAAGCTAGGAGAGGGGCTCCCTTGCCACCCCCAGCCTCAGAGGAAGATGATGAGGTGAGAGGAGAGGACCCGCCCTGCCCTTAGCTGGGCTGAGCGTGCCAAGGAGCCTGGTTTCTCATTCTTCTTTCCTCCAGGTCCAGATAACTTCTGTCTCAACATCGGTGCCCCGAGCAGCGCCCCCCGTGCCGCCGCCGCCTCCACCTCCTGCTTCGCTGTCCCAGCCCCCCCCTCTGCTGAGGCCACCTCTGCCCACAGCACCCACTCTGCTTCGACAGCCGCCCCCACTGCAGCAGGGCCGCTTCCTCCAGCCTCGGCTGGCCCCCAACCAGCCGCCGCCCCCCCTCATCCGCCCAGCTCTGGCTGCCTCCCGCCACAGTGCCCGCCCTGGCCCTCAGCCCCCACCCACCCTGATGGGTGCTTCTCTGGAGCCTCCAGCACCCTCACTCTGAGCCCTGAAGCTCCAGAAACCCTTTGCTGCATGTCCTCAGGCGCCTCTGGCTTCAGGACAGAAGGAACTAAAGCTCTTGCCATGTCTTCGAAGACTTGGAGCTGCTGACGGGCACAGCCTGGACCTGTGGGCTGTTTCTGGCAGCTGAGCCCACCTCCACCCCACCCCAGCCAGGGGCTGGGACTTGGGGGCCTCTGGGCCAGCCCAAGGGTACTCTCTCCCTGGCCTGGAAGGAACGGCTGCCCCCCTCCCGCCCCAGTCTGCTGGGGCTTGGCCTCAGGCCCTTGCTGGAGGTCAGGGCCTTCGCGTAGAGGAGTAGTGACTGTAGCATGGGTGGGGGAGAGGGCAGAATGGTGTGCTGGCTGTTCTTCCTCTTTCCCTTCTTTTAGCAATAAGTCTAGGGTAAGGTGGGAGGGGACTTGCGGGGGGAGGTGGGCAGTTTCCGTGAGGGCCTGACTACAGTGGACCTGCAGGGGTGGCAGAGCTCCTGTCTTCAGGGGCCTGGGGGACGATCCGAGGGGCTCTGAGGGTGCACCGCCCCAAAGCTGAAAGGGCTGGGACATACGCAGACATGGGTTTATTTTTGAATGTTTTTAAAAAATAAACAAATAAAACCTTTCACGCTCACAGAGTCCTCTTTCCCGGTTGGTGAAAGGGTCCTGGGCTCTGCTTCCTGTCTGTGCCCTGGGGGTGCCGGGGGCCAGCACCTAGCACTGGTTTCTCCCCCAGGTCCCAGACAGGAGTTGGTTCTCCTGTGTGGTAGGCAGGCTGGACCATGCTAGCTTGCCCATGGGGACTGGGGACTGGGCCCTTGCCTGGCTGGGAGAAGAAACAGGAGGAGGCAGCTCAGATTCCAAACATTCTCTTTATTACGTGTTTGATCCAGAGGAGAAACTAAGTGCAGGAGGGGGGGCTGGGTGGGGAGGGGCCACCTAGCCTGGGAGGCCCCCGGGCTGCCACCCCCTCTGGGAGTCAAGCCTTGCCCTCCTGGCCCCTCGAGCACCCGGGCTGTTCCAAAGGGCAGGGGCAGGGAAGGAGAGAGGGAGCCCTTGGTCAGAGCCGGAGCCCACAGTCACAGTCGGGCTTGGGGCAGGAGGGCTGAGGTTGGCGAGGCCCCTTCCTGGGACCCAAGGGCTCGACTTGCAGGAGCCTGGCCTGGGAGGAGAGTGATGAGTAGGGGCGGAGTCATCATAAATCAAAAAAAAAAAAAAAAAAAAAAACCATAATAATAAAATAATAAAATAAAAAATAAAACCCATCACAAAAAATGTACAACTCAGGTGAGGGTAGAGGCAGCCTCTGCAGGACCCCCTCTCCCAATTTCTCAAGAACAGAAACAGCAGAGAAATAAATTAAGGGATGCAGCGGCCGCCACCAGCCAAGCGTCCAGAACTGGGCACTCCCACACTGGCTGCAGTGTAGCAAGCTGGGGGTCACATGGCCCCTGGCTCCCATCCTGTGGAGGGCAGACCTCCCACCCCACTGCCCCACGCAGCCTCCTGCCAGGTGGCCGTGGAGACCTGGGCAGTGTCTCCTGAGAGGAGAGGCCAGGCCAGGTGAGTGGGGAGGGAAGTCACTGCTCAGGAACTAGCTGGTGCCCAGATTAATGCCGAGACGGGAGCGGTGGGGAAGGTGCGGCGGCGAGGGCTGTGCTTTCAGACAAAGGCTCTCCCAGAACGGAGAGGCCCAGCAGTTCCGGAGGAGACAAGAGACAGCAGCCCTGGCAGCCCCCTGGGGGCCGAGGAGCCCATCTGCCCAGCGACCCTCCCGGCCCCCAGCCCTGGGGTCAGCCCTACCTTCGCTGGGAGGGGCGGGAGAAGATGGCACAGACTTTTGAGGAGGGGAACGTGAGTCCCCACAGCAGCTTGTGGAAGGAAATGCCCAGCTCTGGGGAAGGCGGGCGGAGGACACGGTGTGGAGGGAGGCTGGAGCCCCTTGGCGGCCAGCCCGCCCACCTCAGACAGGCAGCACCTCCGCCCCGGCCCCCAACCACCCAGGGCTCCTGCCCAGGAGCCTGAGGTCAGGGGAAGGCCACCTCTGGAGGTTTGCTGGGAGAGGAAGGGGAGGAGAGGGGAGAAGCCCAAAGTGGGCCTGGCGGAGGGCCTGGCAGGGAACTCCACCACTCTTGCCTGAGAGTGTTCCAGCCCTGAGCCACCCTCCTGGGAAACCCCACAGATCCAGTCTCGACTGTCCCAATGGGGCAGGGAGGAAAGGTGGTCGCTGGGATTTTTTTTTTCTTTTTTCTTTTTGGTAATAAAAAATTTCTTGGTTTAGGCGAAATACTCTGTGCAACCGCAGTACCGAGGGGGAGCCCTGCCCCCCCACCCCCTCCCCTTCTTTAGCCTCCTGTGGGGGAGAGGGGACAAGGGGTAAATTCTGGACAGGGGTAAATGGGGGTGAGTGGGAAGCACCCCCTCCCATCCCCCACAAACATGGAAGAAAAGACCGAGAGGGGCGGGGAGGGAGAAGTGCCAGCAGGGGAGACACCCAACCCGGCGCCGGCGGCCGGGGGCAGCGGCCCCAGCAGCTAAGTCCAGCCGGCGGCCGTCGCCCCGCGCCGGGCAGCCTGTTAAAGCTTCAGCTCGTTGGCTATTTTGGAAGCAATGTTTTTGAAGGCCATGGAGGTGCCCGATATCCGCTTGAAGCGCACGCCGTTGAGGGACAGCCGCGGCAGCTTGCACACCTCCATCTCCCACTGCACGAAGCTCTCGTGGCCCGGCGTGCCGTGCATGCACAGCAGCATGTACCTCTCGTGCAGCTCGCTCTGGCAGCTGTTGGCGTCCAGCACCTTGCGGATCTCCCGCATCATCTCGTTGGGCTCCATGGAGCTCGTGGTCTTCATGCTCCAGGTGAAGCGCAGGGAGCGCGGCTTGGCCTCCCGACACTCCTCCTTGTCTTTGTCGTTGCCTCCACTGCCCACCACGTGAGGTCTGCAGGCGGGAGGGCAAAGGCAGCGGTCAGGGGGCAAAGGGCCCCTGGGAGAGGCCCGCCCCCCAGCAGGACACCAAGACCAGAGTGCAGCGTGGGAGGCGAGAGGCTGGCGGCGGCGCGCAGAGCTGGGGGAGGTGCAGGGCTGTCCTGCCGCCCCTCTGGAGCAGACAAGGCAGCAGAGGGGAGGAGAGCCAGCGCCACCTGCCCTGCCGAGGGGAAGGCCGGGGGGGGCACCGGTGCTCTGCTCCATGGCCCTGAGCAGCGCTGACTGGACAGAAGGGCTGAGGCACAGACAGGTGAGCTGGTGGCCAGGCCCCACCACCCAGCCCAGGGCTCTGCTTCCAGAAGACACCAAGGCTGAGAAGGGCCCACACCTAGGGTGGGTGGTGGGGAGTCGGGGGCTCCGGCAAGGAAAGGGGACAGGGCAGAGCAGGAGGAAGAGCCAGGCGGCAGGAGGAAGAGGGGAGCAGGAGGCTCGGGCGAGCCGTGTGGCTCCAACCCTCTCACCTGAGCGTCTCCACTCGGTCTTTGCTTTCAGGTTCATTCAGGTTCCTCAAAAAACAGAGCGAGGGAGAGTTTAGTGCTGGGACCTCTCGCTCCTTCCGCTGTCACCAACCCAGGTGAGGCTGGGTCCCAGGAGGTGCCCGCTGGGTGGGCGGGCAGGCCCAAGTCCAAGGGCCCCTGCCCATCACCTGGCTGGCCAACAGGCTGTGCGGCGCTGCCCACTGGCAGCTTCGCGGGCCTGCGCCAGGGAGCCCAGCCCTTGGCGGCCCCTCCCCACACCCCAGCATCTGCTGGGGAGGCGGAGCTCTGCGCCTGGAGGGCAAGGACCTCCACGTGGGCACTGCCTCGCACTAGCGATGCCCAGTGACCCTGTGACTGCCGGGTCGCCTGTTCCAGTGACCAGGGCCTCAGAACTGCAGTTCTCTGAGCAGGAAGGAAGGGGCTGAGGGATGGACAGAGGCCTCTCTTAGGAGGCAGAAAGGGCTGCGAGCTGAACTGCTCTGCATGTGCCTGGGGGGGGGGAGGGCACAGGGTGCCAGGGCCAGCTGCGGACAGGCCCTCCTCCCCCACTCTTTTATGACCCCCTGCCTGCCAGGCTGCCAGGCCATCTGCTTGCACAGGAAGGGAGGGTGGCGGGCAGGGCAGGGCAGGGCAGGGCAGACACCTTGGAGGGTGGGTGGGAAAGAGGTCTGGCCCCGCTGAGCGGCTGCTCCAGCTCCTGGCTGGAAGATGGGTGCCTGGAGCCGGGAACCTGGGGGCTACTGAGGACAGCAGGGAGGTGAGGAGAGAGAGAGCAGCAGCAGCACATGTAAAAGAACAGGAGACACACCAGACACACGACTGCAAACCAGCGCTGCGAGCAGGGAGCAGGGGCTGTGCCGGGGAGGAGCCTGGCTCATCTCTCCAGCCCCACCTGGCTCCTGCCCCGTGGGCGGAGGCGCCTGCAGGGCAGCCCCACCGGGGCCCTGTGAGTCAACAGCCAGCCATGCAGGCGAGGAGCTGGGTGGGGAGCAGTGGGCGGAAGGGGAACTTCGGAAGACCCTGTCCTGGCTGTTGTTGTCAGTGGGGGGCCCAACACGCCTGCCAGTGCCTCAGCACCACGCAGGGTCTGGGCTGCCAGCCTCGGGGAGCCAGTGCTCCCGACCTGGCCCTTGGTCTTCTGTTTGACCCACCCAGGCCACTGCAGAAGATGAGGATAGGGCCAGGGCTGGAAGAGGCAGGATCCAGCAGCTTACGAAGGGAGATGCCTGAGTCAGGGGGGGGCTCCCATTTTTCACCAGGGCTCAGGGGTGCACAATCCAAACCTGGGAACAGCCCAGCTCCTAGCTCCCTGGAAGCCACGGGTGCAGAGGACGCACACAGTCCAGAGCCACCCTGCTTCATCCAGATATTGCTGGAGGCAGGACTTGTGCTGGGTGGGGGTGGGGTGTGCCCAGTCTGGCAGGAGCTGCCAGAAGGGGGTGCTATGCCCCGCTCCTGACACAAAAGGCTCCTTGGACCTGGAGGCATCAGGTGGAAGCCTGGGGACCCCAGCGTCCCTGTAGTACCTCCAGAGTCCTGCCATCCCGGAGGACACACAGCCCTGAAGTTGAGGGAACAGAGAAGGGGAAGCCCAGGAGACCTAGAATGAGACACCATCCCAGACACTCTCAGTCCCCCAGGAGCCTCCTCAGAGCACATGCACAGACAGCGGAAGGTCAGAAAAGGAGCCCAAGACTTGTGACCAGACCCAGGGCAAGGGTGGCGGAGACAATCTTAAAGGGAGAACTTCAGTCATTTTCAAAGCCACTTGCCCTGAAGGGGCACACATGATCCCGAACTGCTGCCCAGCCTTCGTCCCTTTAAGATGGCAGAAAGAGGGCCACACAGGCGTGGTTAGCAGACAGGGGAGGGAGCAAGAGCCAGAAGAGGAGTTAGTGACAGAGGCAGGACACAGGACACAGACACACACACACAGCGGGCTCAACGCCTACCTTCTGGCAAACCTGAAAGACAGATTTCTAAAAAAACAAACAAAAAAAGACAAAATAAAAAAAGAAATAAAAAAAACCAACAAGACGGTATGTGGATAAGCAGGTAGGGAGTGGGCTTTACAGGTTCAAAGGTCACCCCACTTGTGAAAGAGCCGCTCAGCGGGACTAGAGCCAGACAGCACGACCTGCTCCTGCCCCACGCAGCAGCCAGCCTGGAGTCTGGGCCCTGGGCTGCAAAGGGACTGGGTTTGGGGCGACTCCAGCTGAGTGGGGGGAGGCACAGGAGGGAGAGGGGGGCAAGCCCACCCAAAAGTTCCCCAAAAGCCCCCTGCTGCTTCCTGGACTCCACTGAGGTGGTGGAGGAAGCAGATGGGTGGAGACAGGGAGCAGCCGGAGGCCAGATGGCTGAAGGCCCTGGGAGACTCCGAGCTGTCCCTCTGGGGAGGTCAGAGCCAGGTGCAAGAGCACCTTTGAAGAGTGCCCACCGTGGCTGCCACACAGGATGGTCTCAGGGATTCAGGCTGCGCAGGAGACGGCTGCCTTGGGCCCCTACCCGATGGCTCAGTTGCGGCCTTCATCCTGGCAACCTGGGCTCAGGAAATGTGTGGCGGCCACAGACATGACCCCATGGGGCTGGGTCAAAGGGGAAGACAGGGACCAGGAACAGACTCCCTGCTGGCCCAGCCTGGCTCGTGCCTCATGACTTTGCAGCTGCGTCACCAAGTGCAAGTTTCCATGGGAACTCAGAAGAGAAGAGGGGGCTTTTATTTTAGCATCTGAGTTCACACTCTCCTGGAGGAGGCGGCAGAGGCCATCTGCTTGGGGCCAGAGAATGAGGGGTGTACAGGAGTTGGGAAGAGGCCTGAGAGGATGGGTCTGGCATAAAAGATTCTGACAAGGCCCCAATTTCTCAGGCTTTCTGGACCTCTTCTAACTTCAGGGTTTTCCCTGAGCCCCCCACTCTTCCCTTCCCGTGGGAGGACCCAGACTCAGTCTCTCTGCTGCAATAAGTACTCTACTCACCTGCGCACAAACTTGGAGGTGAATTTGCTGAAGATGCTCCCAGAGGCCCCCCGCCGGCCCTGGCTGTTGCCAGAGGGAGAGGCTGGGGTCACACCAAAGGGCAGATTCTGCTGGTCCCGCACCTGTCGGAGCTGCCCTGCGTGGAAGGTGCTTCGACTGGACACACCCCGGGGGAAGTTAGTTCGTTCTGGGGCTCCACCACTGCTGCTGATGTTGTGGGCGGAGGGGGAGGCGACAGGGACCCGCTGTGGGGCTGTACTGTGGGAAAAGATGGGGCATGGGCAACGCGTCAGGGCACAAGCCAGCCGTCACCAGGAGCACCGGGGGTGCCCTGGCCAGGCGCAGGGAGGTGTGCTAGGGCAGAGGCAGCCACCACGGAGACACAGAAGGAAGGGTGTGACCGCCGAGGACACGGGAGGACTCTGGTGAAGGAAGGGTGGTGGTTTCGGGGAGGCAGGGAGGCGAGGAAGGACACGTGTGTGGAGAGCAGTACAGGCTGGAGAGAAGTGGCTCTTGGGAGCTGGGCAAACTGGAACCTCAAGGGGACAAGGCTGACCGACCCTCAGGGAGTGAGTCCCTGTGATGCTGACTGTCCCCGGGGTCCTAAGGAAATCCAGGAAGGCTCACAACAAAAAGCTTCCTCCTGGAGCCTCGGGACGGCTTCTGGCATATCTGTTCTGAGAGGGAGAACTGGAGGGAAAGAGGGGCATTAAGCTATTTTTTTTGCTGTTGTTCCCTCTACTTCCTAGTTGCAGGGGCCAGAGTCAATTCTTGAGGTTGAGGACAAGAAAAGAGCAGGACCCCCAAGTGGGAAGAAATTGTTAGGGGCAAGGGGTGGGCAGGCTGAGGGCAGCAGGTGAGGCCACTGCCCCAGCACACTTGCCTGGGCCGCGGCACCTCACAGTTACTGTCCGTGGGGGGCAGCCCAGTGGCCTTGTTGGGGTGCACGGAGGCCGACATGGATTTCTGGTGCTGGCGGGGTCGGGCCGCAGAGACTGCGGCAGAAGCAGAAGCCGTGGAGGCCCGGGACCCTGGCATGGTTAGGCTAGGAGACAAAAGCAGCGGAGAGGCCTGGGTTAGGGGTGGCGGGGGTGGGAGGTTTAGGTTAGGAAGCCGGGGTGGGGTGGGGTGGGGGTCGGTGGGTAAGAGCTGGGGAGCATGGGCATCGGGATGCAGGGCGGGCCTGGGGAGCCCCAATGGGATGCGAGTCAGCAAAGAAGCAGGGCCGGGAAGCAGAGTGCAGCGGAGGCAGGCAAGGCTGCAGCCCACGGCAGATGCCCGAGCTCAGGAAAGCTGACAGAAGGCCCCCTCTGGGCTGCGCTGGTCTCCCAGCACTGCTGGGGGCAAAAGTGTCTCTTTGACAGAAAGAGCAGGTGCCGTTAAAGAGAGTTTTCAGCTCAGAATAGGTGGAGTCAGGAACCAGGAAAGGGGGTGATGATTTTCAAGGCGAGGGCAGCTCTGCTCTGAGGGGCATGGCTAGCATCACCCTGCTATGTACCCTTCGCTCTGCCCCAAGCCAGGGCCCCCAAAACCAAGCCTAGGGGCACACATGGTCAGGCCCGGCTGCAGTGGAGAAGCAAGAAGGGAGTGGAGATGACCAGAGTCGCACACTCAGCACACACAGGGAGCGGTCATGGGAGCACGGGGCGGGGCGGGGCAGGTGAGGGGAGGCAAGGGGTGTGGGTAGGGGAGCTGGACCAGACAGAGCCAGGACGGACTCCAGAAAGCAGGAGAGGGTGCTGTGCAGGCGGCTCCCAGGGTGCATGGCCACGGACTCTTACCTGTCCTTGCCATTCTGGATGGAGGCCTGGCCTAGGCTGGCTCTCTCTAAAAGTGGGGAATTCCTGCTTCGGTTTGTGCTGGTGGAGAGGACGCTGTTCTGTGGGAAGCAAAGGGCACAGCTGTGTCACAGAAAAGCAGATGTCTTCAGGTGGGCTCGTAAGGCCATTTCCCCTCCACCTTCAGTAGGCAGAATAAAAGATTTGGCCTTTACTCTCGGGGCTGTGCTTCTGACATCAGCACCAAGTGGCCCCAGAGCAGGTCGGGTAAACAGCCAAGTGTGGAGTAAGAGCTGCTGGCAGCAAGGGAGGCCCCTAGCAGGAAGATACAGGGGAGGGGGCAGGGCGGGAGGCTGCAGGCTGGGGGCGGAAGGCCTGGTCGGGCTCACCGTGGAGGGGCTGGGGGTGGTCTTCTTCCTCTCCAGACCAGGCAGGGGGCTGGCAGGCACTTTGGCGGTGCTGCTGGCCTTCCGCCCGGACTCCCGGTCCTCCTCAGGCCGCTTATTTTCTGCGTTGTTACTCTGAGTTTTCTTAGAGTAGGAATTAGAGGTGGGGATGGCAGGACCAGCTGCTGGGCCAGAATGGGGAGAGTGAGACAGGGCCCCCCGCGTGCCATGGCAGACCCCATTTCCCCAGGCCGTGCCGCTGCACACTGCCAGCAGCGCCCCCAGGCCCGCGTCCCTAGGGAGAAGGGTGGACCCGCCTCCCGTCACCGCCCGGCACCCACCCTGGTCACTGAAGCGCCGCTGCTTGGGGTTGGCCGAGACGCTGCGCTGCACCTTGTGGGAGGGGGAAGGGGCGCTGCTGCTGGTCAGGTCTGTGGGAGGCCGGGGCTTCAAGGTGATGGTGTCGCCCTCCAGCTGCAGGAGACCGAGGCAGGGCGCAGTCAAGCAGAGGCAGCGGCGACGGACACCCGCCCCGGCACAGCCGCCCGGGCTCACAGACGCGCCCCTGTCGTCCAGGGCGCACCTCACTCCAGACACACATGCCTGGACACCGGCCCTGACCAATGGCCGAAGGCCCCATACCCCCGTTCCCTGCCAGCGGGAAACACACCCACGAGGACGCACACGGGAAGACCACCCCACCCCACCAGGCGCTCCTGAGCAGGCTCTGGTGAGAACCGGGAGAGGGAGGGAAGAAGAGAGTGGGGAGGCTCTGGGGGCATGTGGGGACAAGGCACAGATGGGGAAACCAGACTGCATTCCCTCGAGACCCTCGATTTTGGATTCAGACTTGGTTGCCTTGGACAGGCGGGAGAACCACCGAGAAGTCGCAGGGCAGGTCGTACGGACTTACACGCAGACACGAGCACTAGGCAGGTGCAACACATAGACCCGGGTGCCTGTAAGGCAGACACGGGGCACACGTACCCACATATTGCAGAGAGAGAGTGAGACATACACCAAACAGCCAGACTAACCAATGTCCGGCCTAACCAGCAGAGACCCAGCTGGGTCTGCTCACCCACAAGGACCCCCGGGCGCAGGCCCCAACCCCAACAGCTCCCCTTCACTGAGGGAGATGCATAAAAGCAAAGGCCAGAGGACCTTCACCGCCAGAGCTAGGCTTCGCAGAAAACACGTGGGGTGCACTGGCAGTGAGCTGGCAGGTGGGGCAGAGCGGGGGGTACACACCTCGGAGCTCTTGTAGCCCAGCAGCAGGTAGGTGGCCATCACCTCGTTGTACCTCTGGCCCACCAGGGAGTCCTGGATCTCTTCCCGTGTGTAACCCATGGACACCATCAGCTCTGCACAGAGGGGACACACAGTCAAGGCTGGTCCTGAGTCCCATGCCAGCGCAATCTCTAGGCCAGCACAGCCTCACCTGTCCGCCTAGGGTCCTTGTAATCAGGGAGTGGCTCCACATAAGGCTTTAACTCATCATCTTCGTGGCCCACATTCATCCATCGATCTTTCATGATTTGCTGGGGAGCAAAAGGAAGGGAAGGGCAGGGAAGACAGCTCAGCCGGGGGTTCTGGCGAGCCCAGGACTTTCCAGCAGCAGGGCTCCAGGCGCTCACCTCTAAAGTGCCTCTCTTGCTGGGATTGAGAATGAGAAATTTCTTAAGCAGGTTTTCACAGTCCGTGGACATGTAGAATGGAATTCGGTATTTCCCCCTCAGTACCCGCTCCCGCAGCTCCTGTAGGAGGAAAATTTAAGTCACCCTAGGGTCAAGGGAAGAAACCTGATATCCAGGATCTTGAGAGCCTGCTGGCCAGGCCGAGGAGCGTGCAACAAGGCAGGAGGCGGAGGGCCTAGGCCGAGGCCCCTCCCCAGAAGGCGGCGCTGTCAAGTGCCCCGTGCCCTCTGGCTTGATCAGTCTGAGGCTGCCAGCTTTTGAGGAAAGACCTGATGTGATTACACTGGATGAGAGGGCCTGTCAAAGGCTGCCACCTTCAGCAAGCTCTCCTCCGAAGCGCAGGTGTGGGAAAATGCAGAGGTGGCAAGGATGAGAGGTCAAGGGCTGAGACCGGGCTGAGAGGAAATGAGGAGTAATTAACATGGCCAAGCTTGCACTTCACTCCACCTTGAGGTTCTGTCCATCGAAAGGCAGGGATCCGCTGACCAGTGTATACAGGATAACTCCCAGACTCCACACGTCCACCTCAGGGCCGTCGTACTTTTTGCCCTGGAAGAGCTCTGGGGCAGCATAGGGGGGGCTGCCGCAGAAGGTGTCCAGCTTGTTCCCAAAGGTGAATTCATTGCTAAAGCCAAAGTCTGCAATCTTGATGTTCATGTCAGCATCCAGGAGCAGGTTCTCCGCCTAGAAGGGAAGATGGACAATGTTGGGGATTGGTCCATTTCACATGCAGGCACTGGGTGGGAGGGACTGAGGAAATGGGAGAGCCCACCCATGCCAGGGCCAGCCTTTACTCAGCACGACCAGGCTGGGCTGGAGGAGGGCAGCACAGGCCACTGCTCACTCAGGCGGCCACTTGGTGCTGGGAGCCGAAGGCTCAGACGCCATGAGAGCCACAAGGCTTTCAAGCCAGGCCCAGGTCAGTCACGGTCCCATCTTCAGGGACTCGGCTCTTCTGCAGCTTCACATTCTAACAGCTCAGTTGAGCACATGCGACTGCCAAGCAGCTGGGTGCAGCTGTGGAACACCCGGGCCCACCTGTCAGCCGCCGGGCCGGCAGCCATGCTCCTGCCCCAGAGTGCAGCTGCATGGAGCAATGCACTGACAGGTGAAATGGGGAGGGGTGGGGCCCCAAGTCTTCGCAGGGAGTACCAGGCGCGGCCGGAGGGGTGTCCTCATCAAATTATTCAAGGGTGGAGTTTCCTTGCCCCTCCCTTCAGAGCCTGGTGGTCATAATTAACGAAGGGCGAGCAAGGCAACCCAAAGACTCAGGCCAAGAGCCTGGCTCACCTTTAAGTCCCTGTGGACAATGAACTTCTGGTGGCAGTACTGCACAGCGGACACTATCTGGAAGGAAGAAGGAAGGTCAGCCCGGGGGCACCGAGCAGGACCCTGTGACCTGTGGCCTGGCTCTGAGCTGACATCCGGATATGCAAAGCCCAAAGGGTCCTCCGTAGGGCACTGACAGACAGGCAGCTCCTCCTTGCAAGCCAAACCCCAGAGGCAGAGG